CTTTACTGTGTGTTTTCTTTCACAAATATTCGCTTGAGATTTGTTTACAGTACCACCATGGACCCTGCAGAGGTTACGGGCCCCCCGCTGAAGCGCCTGATTTAGAGTAATATCCTGTGGGGGAATGGCAATCACAAGCAGGCTAGCTGATGTCGCTCACTGGGCTGCAAAGCAATCATTTGCTCTGAGCTGTAAACAATCTCTGGACAACACAATGTCACGCTATGTGATGTGTACTCATTAATACTCACTAACGCTCAGTATAATTATTTAACATCACTGTCTATGTGAACCATACAATTCACTGACACACTGTAACATCTCATTACAAAACAAACAGCTTCTGGGGTTGCCAAGTCTTTGATTCTCTATCTCACAATTGATTCAGCTATTATGTAAGAATTACATAATAACATGTAAGAAACAGACTTTCCATCATGTAACACCAAGCAATCAAATAGAATGATGGCACAAATGGTCATTTAAGATAAATACTGTTTACATGTTTACATAAACATCAGAAAATTTGATCTCATAAACACATCCCAATTAAAATCTCCAGCTATTATTTGATTGGGTGCACACAGATGGATGGGCTATTATTTTATTATTCACCTCAAGAGGGCAAAAACAACGCTTTCCACAATATGTTTTACTAATGTTAGTGTACAGTTGCCATTTGGTATTTTTTGGGGGTGGAACCAATATCTAATGTTTTAAGAACATTCTTTTTATAGATTGTTTTTTTCTTTTCTTTTTTTTAGAACTATAAACAAACATTCCCAGAATGTTTTGGGGACTGATATTTGTTAGTTGTGTTTGCATTGATCTTGCCTGCAAACATATACAACAAGGATATACTGTATCAGCTGTTTCCTTAACATATAAGGCTCCCATTTATTTTTTTTAGTTCTAACAGTCTAAGAATGTTCTTTTTTTATGTTTTTTAGAACAATAAACTCACAGTCCTAGAATGTTTTGGGGATCAAAATTTGTTAGTCATGCATTAATCTTGCATGAAAACAAAATAATAAAAATAAACTCAATGCCCTATAGAGTTTAGCTCCAACTTGCCCTAAGATCTTGATTAACTGGTTCAGGTGTGTTTAATTGGGGTTGGAGCTAAACTCTACAGGACACCGGCCCTCCAGGACTGAGTTTTGACACCCTTGCTATACACCCACAACAATTTTTTAAACTACAGACAACCCTATTATTTGTATGGCCATAACATAAAAAAATGTCTAAATACTTAGGCTCGTGCTGTGCAAAATAATTAAACGTTCTCTCTTGAATGGCACTTCCCTTTTCCGTTTCTTCATTTTCCTTGACATCTCGTTTTCTCACTTCTGTTTGTGTGTGTGTGTGTGTGTGTACTTTTTATTATTATTATTATTATGGCTATTTTTCTTGTACCTGTCTCTTCTTTACCAGCAGGTCTACTGTTATGAACAGAACTGTCTCCACCTTGTTGCAAAACAGCCACCTCATTGTAATTTGTTTGCACACAATCTAAATTTATTTTAGTTAAAGGGGTCATATTATGTTGCTAAAAAGAACATTATTTTGTGTATTTGGAGTAATGAAATGTGTTTATGCGGTTTAAGGTAAAAAAACCCACATTATTTTCCACATACTGTACATTATTGTTTCGTGTGTGTGTACTTTTTATTATTATTATTATTATGGCTATTTTTCTTGTACCTGTCTCTTCTTTACCAGCAGGTCTACTGTTATGAACAGAACTGTCTCCACCTTGTTGCAAAACAGCCACCTCATTGTAATTTGTTTGCACACAATCTAAATTTATTTTAGTTAAAGGGGTCATATTATGTTGCTAAAAAGAACATTATTTTGTGTATTTGGAGTAATGAAATGTGTTTATGCGGTTTAAGGTGAAAAAACCCACATTATTTTCCACATTCTGTACATTATAGTTTCTCCTCTATGCCCCGCCTTTCTGAAACACGTAGATTTTTACAAAGCTCATCGGTCTGAAAAGCGAGGTGTGCTCTGATTGGCCAGCTATCCAGTGCGTTGTGATTGGCCGAATACCTCAAGTGTGTGACGGAAATGTTACGCCCCTTACCATACTGTGATGCCTTGTCCGGCCAGAGTGACGAAACAAAAACTATAAAACCCATTATAAACGAGGCATTTGTTGCATGCAGTGCGGACATAATTACGGATTATAATGACTTATACTGTCTTTTTACATGTCGCATCGTGGCGCATAAACATAAAACCATGTCTGCATTTGTGATCGGAGAAATGACAAATAACAAGCGCTACTCTACACAGCTCAAATCTCGCGTTTGAATCGTCGGTGGCAAATTCCTTAAATATAAATAACTTCCTTACAGTCTGTGAGTCAGAACAGCCGGCATTGCAGTCTACTCTACCAGGATAGTTGATGTATTTCCTCAGCGACCAGCACGGATCAGCTCTAGCATGACGAAGCGGATATCGTCCTCTTTTGGAAGTCCAAACAAAGTAGGTTCACTTTCACAACGAAACACACAGTGCCTTCACGACATGGCGGCGGCAACAACAATACTACAGCAAGAATAAAAGTTACGCCTTCTTTTTTTGCGTGAACATTTGGGCGGCTTTATGCAAATCTTCCCACATAATGATGTAGATATGTGGGGGCGTGTTAGAACGAGCAGTTTTAGGTAGGTGTGGTTGACTCTTAACTTTTATAAAGAATATCTCTTTGGATTTGAGACTTTAGTCTTTGCAACTTTACAGATCTTCTTTATGCACCAAGAGTTGTAACACTCCAAAGAGAAAGGAAAAATTTAAATTGCATCATATGACCCCTTTAAATTCAAAGTATTACATTAGGACAATGTGTTATTGTTGTTATTTAGACAATCTTAAAATCACTTTAATTCCCAAGATTAACAAACATAAACAAAACAATAAAATAATTTTATACACTTTAGTTGTATATATAATATAGGCTATTTGAGGAAATATAGGCTACTTTTATGTGGAATGATGAAATGAAAATTAATTATAGGCTATACAAATAACATTTTAAATGACTTCTGTTTCGGAATAAATAAAGCCGTATATAATTTTTGTTCTGACTGATACTCATGTTTTGTATGTGAACAGGTTGTAGCTACTGTAATCTGCAACAGTATTTAGGGATTGGGGCTATTGTGAATGATTTTAGGTTATGTTGACAACGGGCACGTTCGTGACGGAGATGGCGACGTGGTAGTTTTACAAAAGAAGACTGAAATGACCTGAATATTGAGTCTGACTCTGTCCGTTAGAGTTACTTTTTCCCATTCCCACCCAAAAATAAAATAGTGTCTCATGTGATCACTCAATGACAGCAGATTGAAAACACACAAAACCTCAATTCAGTGTCCATAAACTAGCGAGAAAAATGTAATAGAGGAGAATTTTGCAAAAGTTGCATTTATTATATTGTTACTCATTTAATTACTGCAAAATGCATACTGTAGATATAACGTTATTATAAAAATGATCTCACTCTAAAAAATGCTGGGTTGTTTCAACCCAACTTTGGGT